CCTCCAAGGCTCAGAGACTATCACTGAAGAGAAAACAGAAGGCTGTGTGTGACTCTGTCTCTTGGACATGGCATGTTGCACTGGAGAACTCACAGCAGTAGTGGCTGTTTATACAAGACTGGCCAGTCAGTACTTCGCTCTTTATGCAGAAGGCTCACTAGGCCTCATCTCTTCTTAAAAAGCATAGGGGGCTGGTGGAGTCATATTCCTCAGTAAGTTGGTTGCCCCTGCTCAAATAAATAGTTCCTACTTCTGGTCATGCAAAAAACCTTCATTAAATGCAAAGGGGTGGCCCCCACATGTGAACTGTATGAGAGTAGGAAGGGGACTCTTTGGAACTAAGAAAAGGTTTAGAGGATAGAGATAAAATAATGTACATACAATATAAGCAATATTTTATATGCTCGTATACATGTATATTAGGTTTTGAAAAAACTGTAATTTAAAAATAGATCATGAACCATGGTGGTACACACCTATAATCCTAGTTCTTGAGGGAGAAGTATTGTGAGTTCTGGGCCAGCCTCCGCTACATAGTGAATGCCAGACCAGCAGGGACTATACAGTGTGGCCTGACCTCAAAAACAGGGCAGGACAAAATAACTCCATATCTCTAAAAATATTTGAGTGAATCACAGAGTCTGTGACTTAAGGAGGCTGCAAAGAGGATGAGGGTGGAATTTGTGTTCACTCACAGTTTAGGATGAATGCTGGCACCGTGAGCATAGGAACCACAGTGAAGAACTGCTGTCTTAGAATGCATGCCATCATCTCTTCCTCCACCCAACACCATGGCTTCCTGGCAGAGCTGTTCTCCAGGAAAGGCCAGTCATTTGATTTCCATTATTTCAGATGCCTTCACTTAAATTATTCCATAACGGTTTTTAAATCAACCACACTTCTCAGCCTATTTCTTAAGTTATGAGAGGCATTTGCCTCCCATCTTCCCTAAGAATAGTCAGATTAATTGTGTCTCTACTTTTCTCTCCTCCTCCTCGTCCTCCTCCTCGTCCTCCTCCTCATGTCTAATAAAGTCAGAGAGAGGAGGATCGACAGACAACCTATGATATTTCTAACTGTCTCGCTTGTGTACACCTATGTACTTAGCTTCTCAGGGAACTGAAGCAGGAGAATGCGGACAGGCCGGACCCTGTCTGAAAATAAAACCTATAAAGGTAGGAATTACATGGTGGAAACTTTGCATCTATGTGGGAGTCCCTGGGTCCAGTTCACAGTACTTCAAAAAAGAAGAGGAGGAAAAGGTTTGTCTTTGTCTTTTTCTATGAAGATGTATTTCTTAGAGACAGCAACTCTACTATAGTTCCTCTTTCCACCATGCTCTGGGGATCTAGTCATCATTTAAAATAATGATTCTTGATTTTATTCATATTTATGGAACTCTAAGTTCTTCCACAGAGTAGCATTGAGTCTACTCTGTCAAGTGAGATTTTTCAATCATTGAACAGTAGAGACAGAAGTTTCTTCAGTGCTCACTATGCATAACCATGTTGTATGTGAGAGAACCAGGGTTTGGGGAGCTTGGTGATTTACAGGCTAACAAGTCAATTAAAGAGACAAAATATAGCTCGCACTCTTATTTCCTTGCCTAGACGGCTTCCCTAATCAGCTGTCCCTCTTACCAGCTCCAGTGAAGGACGTCTGCAGGCCCCGACATGAAATGGAGTAAGCCCAAAGCACAGGACTAAATATCTAGAGAGATGGCATGGCAGATAAGGAAACTTGCTTTTTCAGGAGACTTGAGTTTGGGTACTAGCTCACACATTGGGCAGCTCACAACTACCTTTCACTCCAGTTCCAGGGCATCCAGTGCTCATGCTGGGCCTCTTCGGGTACCTGCATTCACTTGCACATAAACTCACATGTATAAAAATAAAATACAGTAAACAATTCACCAGAATGGCCATAAAATCAACAATTAGGGAGAGGCATTTATTATTGAAAATAACTTTTGGCACAGTAACTTCCTTCTGGTGCTTTGGGTTTTTCTCCCCAGACCTTCTCCTTTCTGAGATGGGGGTCTTAGCCGTGTAGCCAAGGATGCCCTTGAACTCCTGGTCCTTTTGCTGTCCCACCCCAGTGCTGAGATTGCAGGCATCATGCTATTCCTGTTCTGTTTTGATTTCTTTACAAAATGTGTAGGAAGATATTACTCTAGGGGGAAAAAAAAAACCTAAGCAGAAACCTAAGGAGTTCAGATAGTTACAAATTCTGAGGGGATCAACTCTGTGGCTTCATCCTAACAGAACTGCCACCCCTGCCAAAGACAATGAGAACCCACTATTATGGCTAAAATAATCAACAACAACAAAATGGAGATGTTTTTCCTGAAGTCTCTTTACCCTACTCTTCTTGAATACAGTAAGGATGGAGAGAAGATAAAGACCATATGTAATTTGGGTAAGGCAACATGCCAGATGAACTTTGTTCAGCAGCAGGACTGACTTTATCCCTTTATCAACACTTCGAGGTGGATATTTCACTCCCACAGAACAGGCAGAACTAAAGCTCTGAGCAGTTTGGACCCAGGTGCAAACCCAGGTCCCTGTGCCCAAACTCCAAGTACACAGATGTAGGTGTATCCAAAACAAATTCCAGAACCTTTCCCTGCTGTTAAAGCTCAACATGCCTGAGATGGTTATTACCTCTACTGCCTGCTTGAAAAGCCTGTAACTACTATGCTCCTTCCTGCTTGCTTTGGCACTCCTAAAGAATACAGTGTAACAACAGAACAAATTCACTGGCAAAGCCTTCTAATCCTGGCATTCTGGGTATATGTACAAATAACAGTAAAAGAGGAATAACTGTGTAAGACAGAGCTTAACACAACCCTCACCAGAGTTCTTACTTGCCGTTTCACGAATGTAGAAGAATCCATCTCTGTAAGCCCAGGGAAGCAAGGAGCCATATGACCTCATCATACCTGGCCCTCTGTGCTGTCATGTGTAACGGTGGGCTGGTGGCAACACTATTTCCTAGGCTGGAAGAAGGGAGAGAGGGAAGAGGAGACGAGCAGGCTGCACTCTTAGAAAGCACACGGTATGCAAGATCAGTAGAAGGGGCCACTCTCCCTTGTTCAGGGAGTGTCACCAAGCAAGGAGGTTTTAGAACTCGAGTGCTTAACAAAAGATGCATGTGTGAGAACCAAGCCAGGCAGCGTCTTTAAAATATGTCTTCCATTTGATGTTAAATTCTTTCCACTGAAAATCAACTTCTGGGCCTGGAGAACCAGAACAGTGATAGAGCATTTTTCTAGCACATGTGAGGCCATGAGTCTAAGCTCCAAAATGTCGGATAAAGAAAACTCTCTTACAACACACTCTATAGTTTAGCTATTTTCTTGAAACATATGCCAAGAATAAGCTGATATAATCCAGATGAATTTCTAGCCATCTAATTTCAATACTAGACTACTGTCGCTTCCAGGCTACTCTCTCTAACTTCCAAATAAGATTAAAACAACAACAACAACAACAACAACAACAACAAAACCAAAAACTAAAGTACCTCCCAAGCTCCAAACAGACATAAGTAATTTTGTTTGTCAAGTTTTAACAACATGGCAGCCTCAAACTGGGTTTAGTGGTCCAAGCCCATAATCCTAGCAAGCGGAAGGCACAGGGAGAAGGACTAGGAGGTCAAGCTCATCGTCAGCTAGCTACAAAATGAGTTCAAGACTAGTCTAGTGTACATGAGACACTGTCTCAAAATCAAAACAAAACAAAACAAAACAAAACAAAACAAAACAAAACAAAATAAAATACTGGTGTAAGATAGATCAGTGGATGAAAGTTTTGCTGTATAACCCTGACAACCTGAGTTTAATTCCTGGATCTCACAATGGAAGGAGAGAATCAATTCCTATAGTTGTCCTTTGACCTCCACATGTTCACCTAAACACACACACACACACACACACACACACACACACACACACACACACTCTGAACGATAGTAATGATAATGACAATAAAGTGAGTACACACAAAAGAAGGAAGAAGGCATGGTTTTGACACATGTTAATAATGCTCGTCAGCTGTGGGTCAGATATCATATATGGGTACTCTCCTATGCAACAGCCAAGCACAGACGAGGTACCACTCTTGTTGGATTTGAGTTTAGCATCATCAGTGAAGATGGGTAGAGGTAAGAGGCTTGCTTGAAGTAAAGCTATACTTCTGTTATTTTAAGAAGTCTTTACCAGTCATTTGAAGTAAGAATTACAGAGTAAAATGATCTAGGGATTGCATGGAGACAAGTATCCGGTACCTTTTTTCCATATGTTAAGTCACTGCTATGTGCTTTTATGGGCGGGGGATGTTTAACAATTGTGTTGAAGAAAGGATATCAAATGATGCTTAGAAATGTGATACACATTTTCATTTCACACTCCATCAGCTTTTACAACTGTAGCTCAATGAGATGTGTGAGAGAGGCTGGCAAACAGTCATATTTACAGGGGCCAGGTTACCTTTTTTATGGAATGAAAAAAAAAATGTTTAATTTTCACTCCACAGGGTTCAAGTATATATGCAGCTCACACTAGCAAGAGGCACCACAACCACACATCTGCCACAGCTTAGTGTCTGTTCACCTGTAGGTTTGACTGTGTTATAAACAGCTTTGTCAGCAGGGAAACATTGGGTCCTCTTCACCCTCCCTTCAGGATCAATGAGACAGAACCACACTGGATCTCTTCACCCGTGGTGTTGAATCTCTTACCTGCAAAAATGGCTTTTTTGCCTTCTGCCTCTGCCCTGGAAAAGGAAGCAGTTTACTCCCTTTATGGGCGGAGAAGCAAAAGTCTAGCCATCAGCAAAGATACCCCTGAACATTCAGATCTCCATCTGTCAGAAAGGAGCAAAGCCTTGTGCCCCCTTACAAAGGGGAGTGGTGAGTGATCGCAGATGCAGGGCAGGGGCACTGAGCTTCCCAAGCTGCCATGGTGTCAGCAGCCTGGAGGAGAGGAACCTGGAACTTACCTTTGTCAAACCTGAGACTTCTCCCTTGGCCAGCGGCTTGCTGATGGATGGTGTATAGACTCTGGTTTCTGATACTGGCTGTCCTTTCAAAAAGTGTTTTCCTGATTCATAAATGTCGACTTCAACCATTTTCCCCATGAATGCAGTGTTCTTTGGCACTAAAACCTTAAAACGGATTTTCAGATATTAGAAGTTTTTAACACGGCCTTATTTAACAGTAGTTCTAGGTTCCAGAACAATGACGTAGGAAGGCTTCTTGCTCCCCACATCACTCTGCCCATCATTAACATCTTTCCTCAGCGTGGTGTGTTTGTCACCATGAATAATGACAAATGGCACGCCACTAACAACTAAGTCCACACTTCATTCAGATGCTTTGGGATCCCACTGCAGAGTATTGCCTGGCTGCTGGAGGATTTGGAGTCCTGGGGAGTGGGAAGGCTTTTCTGAGAGGAGTCAAAGGGCTGCAGACCCAGGGCCTCTGTCACCAGATGTCAACAATCCTGAATGAAGCACAGTTACAGGAAGCCTGAAGGATTCCCAATAGCCAGCCTAGTACTTCTGGACAGGCCTTTCATACCTGGGCCTTGCCTGTCCTACGCAATGAAGGAAACTAATTAGAAAATTATAGAAGCCTCACACTCGAAATAGCTTCAAGTTAGCCGTCATTTCAAATGCAGGTGTGTGCTCATGCGTGTGTGCTCATGTGTGCAAAAGGATAAGAGGAAGGGCATTTCAAAACAATTCTCAGTAACACAGCACACTGGTTTGCCTAAATGCTTCCTCTGGCTGATGGCTGCCATTCATGCCTGTTGTCAGGAAAGGAATGTATTTGTTATTCTCCCGAGCCAACCTTTGCTCAGAAGCAGCCACTCTGAAGGCTATTTGCCTGGCTCACAGGGAACTGTCAAATGGCTCTTTCTGTTAGAGTGTGCAGATAAAACGATACATGTATATGTTTGCCTCAGCAAGAGTCTCCTCTTGCTGGGGACTTACAGGTAGTTTGTAGTCACTCTATCCCCTCAAGCGTCAGTTTTAGTACTGTAGCTACTTGTGGTCCTCTTCAAGTCGGGGTCCAATGCACAGAGACCAGTTCCAAACCATCAATAGTTTGATATTTTCTTATAATCTTATTTAGAAAAATAAAAGCTATGGCATTGTTCAAATGCTTGATTATAGAGACAGAAAAAGGGGCGGGGGAGAAGGTCAGGGAAGAGCCTGCAGTTGCACAGCCAATGTCCCTGAGAAGCCACACTGGGTGTTGGTCTTTCTGAGGTTAGTTTTTATGATCACTGCACACAGCACACACAGCTTCATCAAAGTGTAGGGATAAAGGTCATCTGGAGGGTGGCTGACACATGGCAAGCAGGTCAACTAAAGGAACATTAGTATCGGACCCTTTTAAAATAATTTTCATAAAGTTAGACAATCCCTAGTTGAAGCTATGCCTAGAAATGGTGCTATTCCTGGGAATATAAGTTGTCTTGATGTGCTGCCTTGTGCTGAATGAAGGGTTTGGTGTTTCATGTTGTTCCCCACCCTCGGGTTTGAATAATTGGAAAAAGCCCAACTGCTTTCCACTGGAGGAATCAGCTAATGAGGCATGCTGGTGCATTTAAAATGAAAGGAAAAGGTTCTCTGCTGAGGCACAAACCCAGATGGCCAGAGAGAGAAGAGGGAAGAGATAACCAAAATACATCGGGGTCATCCTCAGGGCTGAGCAGAGGCTTGGGCAGCAGAGGAAAATGGCTCTTCTTGAGATGGGAACAGGAAGAGGTTTGGCTTTAAGGTGAGGCACAGGAGCGCCTTCCTCAGCTGCAGTCTTCCCTGGATACCCAACAAGTGTGTCTACTGAGTTTGGAGAGGTCCTACCTAGGAACTACTGCCCAGTTAGATAGTAATTCATGTGTATAAGCAGTAGTGCAGCCCCTTCATTGCTTTCTTACTCAAGTCGTCCTTTCCCTAGCCCAGCCTCATCTGAAGTGCCCTTGTAATACCTAAAAATCCCCAAATTCCAATTCTAGTCATGACCTAGAGAGAGAAAAAAAAATCCACTTCTCATCTGATGAGAAAGAACATAAGGATAGGAAACCCCATCGACATTAAGGAAAATTAATACGGCTCAGAACCATCTGTGGCCATCCCACGCCACTGTGTCTCCTGGTCATGTGTCCTTTCAGGGTTCTTCCTGGAGGGAACCAGTCTGTGAGTCACTTCTGACATTCTCTCACCTGCTGGGGAGGTGAGGCCCAAGTGCTGACAGAAGTCAGGTCTAAACAGCCCTCAAGAGTGGCTCTGTTGGGTTATTGGGATTTTGGTTCATTTAGAGTTTGTACATTTTAAAAAATTCTACTTTGCTAAAAGGCTGGGAACAAACGAGAAAGGGTCTATTCTCTGGATTCCCCTCAGAGTGAAGAACCACTGTGGAGGCTTTGTTCCCTTGGAGGTTTTAGAGGCCACCTAGGTTTAGGGGGAGCTAAGGTGGGAGGAGTTAGGAGAGGAAGAGGAAAAGGAAGAGGAGGAATTAGAGAGGCAGAGATGTAGGAGGATGGAAAGCCATGCAGGTATGGAGAGCAGTCGTGAGTAATAACTTTTATTTAGGTTAGCTAATTGAGAAACAACTCTCTTCGTATGGGCATTTTGTTATTGAGCATTACCAAACATATAAAGCTTTTAATTAATCTTTAAGCATTAAAGATTAATTAGTCTCAAATGTTCAGAGATTAAGTCTCATTTTTTTCTACTGGGCTCACGTGAATGGTGAGATGGTCTGGGCAATGCCCAGCCTTGCAGAGACAGTGAGGAAGATGGGCAGAGCCATCTCCCACGATGACCTCTCATGGGTGGCAGGGCCTCTGGCCACGGAACATGGTAGCTGAGCTAGGCAGAGTCACCACAGCTTAGATAGTCGGCTTGACCAGAGTCTGATTTTAATTATTTACTTCAACACCTAGGGTTGCACTTCTTGCTAGTCTTCTTTACCTTACGTGCAAGTGAGTAAGAGAGAAGCCCTACAATTCATGCTGATGTGCTTGGTATACACACTTCCTGCCTTCTCAACAGGACTTCTCTCTCCATTCACTCAGTGGTAGCTTCTGATTCTCAACTCCCAGAAGCCTGAGGCTGTCCTCTCCTGGACTTGCAAGGCCTCCAGTACACACAGTGACACTTATACCCTCTGTGAAGGTCCACCCTGCTAGCCTGGTTCCCTTCAGTCATACAATCCTTTCTTCTTGTAGTCCCTTTTGCTCAAATGTTCAGAGCTTGTCTCACTTTGAAGAAAAAGAAGTGGAAATGTGGTTCTTACCTGCTCATAGAATCGGTTATGTGCAACATAAAACTTGGAGTCAAAAGACTCCTCTGTGACTAGCACTTGTTGTCTTTCACCAATCTGTAGGGAGAAGAAAAGACAAGGATAAAGAAGCAAGAATCTGAAAATAAATAGCAGCCCATATATTCCTGGACCATAGCTACTGCTTCGTGAATTTAAAGTAGACCACAGATGGTCAGTTGTTTAACAGACAACATTGTGCATAACTCATTCAAATCTCCTGAAAAACATTAACTATTCAGGAATGTAAAATAATCATAGCACAAACCCCTTATTTTTTTTACATGACTATGAAAAAACTCAATCAGATTTCTTTCTTCCACATAAGATACAACAAAAGCTTCTAAAATGCACCAAAATCCAAATAGCACTTTGTTTCTTGCAACAAAGTTGCACAACAAGCCAGAACAAGCTGCTTCTAATCCAAATGCAGGAAAATATTTTGGCAATATGGGAGAATAGTAATAAACATTAATTTGAGTTATAAGGGATCTAACACTAAAGAAAATGCACCCAAAACTAGTCATTAGGGGCTGCAGAGACAGCCGTGATGAAGTGTGCACACAGCTTCTCCAGAAGACCCAGGTTTGAGTCTGGCACCCATACTGGATGGCGTACAACTGCCTATACCTTCAGTTCTTAAGGATCTGATTTCCTCTTCTGTCTTCAGGGGTACCTGAACTCACTTATGTGCACATAGCCCTCCCCCTGCACATTAATTTTAAAACCATACACATAATTTAGAAAACAGAACTAGTTCTTAGGCCTTCACACTTCAGTGTTACACTTCTTCCATACAATTCTGAAATTATGACTAATTTGCATAAGTATTTACTTATGTGTTTTTTCTCTATTATAGGCAAGTGTCTCATTGTTGTAGCTACAACTCCATGTTGCTGTCACTTTTTAAAGAGTAAACATGAAATAATGAAATTTGAAGATCAATGGATAGAACTAGAAAACATTATATTGAGTGAGGTAACCAATATTAGACCCAAAAAGACAAATGTCATATGTACTACTCATAAGTGGGACCTTTAGATTTGTGTGTTTAATTGGGAATACCTGTCGAGTTCAGGAAACCAGAGAGGCATTGGTAGGGAGCGGGGAGAAGGACCTTAAGGTAAGAAGGATAGTAGAACACAGATGATATGAAGGGGAAAAGGGAAATAAAAGGGAGGGAGGCTTAGGTGGAGAGAGAGATGGGAGGGTGGAGCAAAGGAGGGATGAATGACTAATACTAAAGATGTTTGAAAAAGCCATATGTATTTATAAGCTACACACACACACACACACACACATGTTCAATAAAGGAGCTTAATTGGAGTTACCCTTCAGAGGGGATAATGTTCCTTCCTGTGCTGGATAGTTCTTTTGGCAACTTGACAGAAGCTAGAGTCACTTGGGAAGAAGTAACCTCAACTGAGAAAATGCCCCCACCAGACTAGTTTGTAGAAAAGTCTGTGGGGTCATTTTCTTGATTAATAATTGGTATGCATGGGCCTACCTCACTGTAGGTGGTGCCACCCCTGAAGAGGTGGTGCTGGGTGTATAAGAAGCAGGCTGAGCAAACCATGGGGAACAAGCCAGTGAGCAGTACTCCTGTAAGGCCTCTGTATCAGTCCTTCCTGCAGCTTAAGGCTTTGAGCTACTGTCCTGACTTTCATGGATGACGTACTTACAAGTTGTACAACGAAATAAACCCTTTCCTCCTCAGGTTGTTTCTGGCCACGGTGTTTTATCACAGCAGTAAAAACCCTATGACACTCCTAGAAGCCACATTTTGTCAAATAAAAAGCTCAGTGCCAGGTATGAAATACCACTTGAGAGATGTCCTGGAGACTTCCAAAATAATACCAGCCATTGCTGTTGTTCTTGGCTACCCAACTTGATTTTGACGGTAAAAACTCTATTGTTAAATTACATACTTAGGTCATGGTACCAGATTAATATCTTTATAATCATAGTGCAGCTCTCAGATATCATCAGGGACGTTTCTTTGTGCTGTAAATGGTGGTTAACGAATAGAGAATTAGTGTCAGGGGAGTGCTCAGCCCCAGGCTCATGGCACAATACAGAAGAAGGGATGGGAAGACTAAGAGCCAGATGTAAGGGAGGATGGGTGCAAAACTGTCCTCTGGACATGTCCAGAATGCTGACCTCATGAACTCACAGCAACCATGCTTGTCTGCATAAGACTGGTACAAGATCAAGCCTATTAACATTCTAGTGTGGAGAAGGGGAGAGGTTCACAAGCCTCCATCTCTGAGGCACTATTGACAGTTGATTCCTTATGGAGGAAAGGAGAGTCAGTTTTCTTTAAGAGTAGTGTAGTCCCTGAGGGATGGAGAGACAACTCAGCTATTGAGAGCACCGGCTGCTCTTCCGGAGGCTCTGAGTTCAATTCCTTGAGTCCAGCCATGTGGTAGCTCACAACCATCTAGAATGGGACCCAATGCCTTCTGGCATGTAGATGTGCTTACATACAGATCACTAACATACATGAAGTAGATACATACTACCAAAAACATACTCCAGTATGTCATATACCATGAATATGTGGGCAGCAGCATAAAGTGGGTAGTTAGAGAGAGAGAGAGAGAGAGAGAGAGAGAGAGAGAGAGAGAGAGAGAACGAGCACAAAGATGGGAAAGGGTAGGGAGGTAGGGTGGATCTCTGAAGGGTTAGGGAAAGAAATATGGGGCAAATATAATAAACTATATAAAATTCTCAAAGAATTAATAAAAATACATTTTAAAAAGCAACCAATGGGTCTGTTAGGTCTATATTTCTAAATTTATGCAGTCGTTTTTAATAACCATATGTTACATCTGCCAAACATTGGTTAAAGAAAAGTGACTGTGCTCCCTCCCAATTGTCATTTCCAAGTTTATTCCACTGAGAAATATATCCTTTAAAGGATCAATCACTTAAAAAACAAAACCCAACACTATCAAAAATGTCTGCTCCATCAAACCAGCTGCAAAACTGCCCAGAATTACTCTTGCTGCTGCTGCTCAGTAAATACACACCCCACACTGGCAGGATGAATTTTATTTTTAAAGAAAGTCCTACTCTCATTTGTGAGGACTTGTCACTGTGTTCAGGCACTTATCATTTCGGAACCATAAACACAGCTGCACTGAACAGACCACCTAACAATTACAGAGTAAACTCCCCATTCCCCCTTACGTTGCCAATACCTAAGTACACCCCAGTGTGCCATCTAGCTTGCCACCCTATTCAACATGTAGTCTCTGTAGCCAAAGGCTGTGAGGTCTCTGAAGACTTTAAAAGAAACCAAAAACCCAAAACCCAAAACCAAAACCCTCATCTCACTGCCCAAAAAACAATGCCTACTCCTATAATACATCTCTCCAAAAACAATCCAAACAGACCCAAGGAAAGTTCTCTCAATTTCTGTGATGAGCTTCCAAAGTTCCGTTTATCAAAAAAGACTGGTGAATAGTAGGTTTCATGGGTGTCTACTCTTCTGGAGAAAGCCAGGATGTTTGCACACAGCTCACTGTGTGAGTTGCTTATGATGTAGGATGAGTACCTGTCAATGGTTCTTAAGATAATCTGCAATTATACTTCCGCTAGCGTTGACACTGTAAGAACACTGAAGGTGTGTGCTGCTTGCTGTTTTTCTGGGCTGTTCTGTTTCATGTGGAGATATAAACTATGATGACAGGAAAAACAATCAGCCAATCAACCAGACCAACAAAACTTTGCACTCTAATGTAGGCAGCTGAGATTTTAACAAGTCAGAACTATTTATGGTGAGTGTTTAGCTGTCATTTGCCAAAAGGGCTCAGAACGTAGTGTGTGGAGATGGACAGGGACAGACACCTTTCTCAGCTATGGACCTCGGGTCACTGGTACAGCTCTTACAATTCCCAGAGGAAACCAAGCAGAAGAGAGAAGAAAAAAGTGGGTATGATCAGTCCTGCTGTAACCTGTCCCCACCTGTAAAAGCTACCGTAAAAAAGAATAGTGATGCCTTTGTGATGTCTATGCACGGAGACTTGGACTGGCTATCAATCACAACCATGAAGAGAACTGACTGTTCAAGTCTTTTTAGAAGCCATAAGATGTTGAAGAAAGGCATTTCCAAGAAGCATTTGGCTTGGGGAACAATAAACACCTGACAGATTTGCCAAATTGTAAGCCTCGTGTCTTTTATAGTTTTAAAATTAATCTTTCAATGCTGGGCATGGAATTCAGGGCCTAGCACAGATATGGTAAGTACTCTGCCATTGAGTTACACCCCAGTCATCCAGCCTCATTTTAGAGGAACCATTTATTTTTTATGTTTTCTAAATGTGATTCCCCGTTCCTGCCTCCATTAAAGACTCATCCATCAAGATTTCTAGTGGGCAGCATGACGTGCCTTATCATGAGTGCTTTTGCCAGCAGAGTGAGAAGGCTCCACACCAGAGATAAAAAAGAGGGCATCTGGCAGAAGGGTCAAGCCACAGGCCTCCACAGACGTATCAGACCATCCCTCCCTCCTAGCTACTTTGCTAGCAGCAGGGTTGATCCATGAGAAGAGAACAGAGCTTATCTTACAGAATGATAGAGCATGCACTGGGCCTTAGCCAGCACCAGGCCACAAGTCTCCTCATCTGACATTCTGCTAAGATTTGGCCTTCTGTATCTATCTTTCTTCAGTGACAGAACTCTGCCAAAGGTTGGGGCCTCCCACAGGAATGCAAGGTCATGTCACTCTGAAAAGTGACCAAACAAAATCCTGGGCTGGAAAACATGGTTTCCACAAATCTTCCAGTGGAAGCACAATATATTCAGCAGAAAAAGGTAAGCTGCCACTGGCTACAGAATGCTCTACAGGTGGCTTCCAAGCAACCTAGAGATTCTAGGATAGGAAGAAAGGCAGAGTGGGCCACAGAAGGAGCATGTGATCTAGCAGCCCCCAAGGGAGATGGGAAAAAACCCTCAAAAATACCAAATTCCATATCACCTAACCTTAAAGCACATTGAATGCTATGTATGTAGGTAGGAGAGCAGAGCAAGCCACAGGTTGTCTGCCAGCAGATTAT